GAGGATGGAGATTTAGTGCAGTTTATACAGGAAGGCGAGGATGGACAATGGTAAGTAAGGCTGCCAGAGAGAAAGGCTACAGCAGTACCATTTTCCAGCGGTTATTTGAGTTTCGAAACAAACCCTGATAAACAACAGCTAGAAGAGAATAGCGTGTGTCAAATTTTCTCGATTCCATTAGTCCGCAAGCTAGGTTTACTTTTATTATTATTATTTGCTGCAGAGATAAATTTATGTTGGGGGAGTTCAGAAATATACCCATAAAGCTTAGGGGAAGACTCTCCTCCCTTCTTCCCAACATGTGTTGAAAGCAATCTTTCTTCAGCATCCTCCAGCTGTTTTGGACCACAATTCCATCAGTTGATAAATTTCTGTGAGGGCTTTTTTAAAAAAATAAAAAAGAATAAACTTCCGCAAACTGAAACGGAAAGGTGGAGATCTGAACTTATGATGGGAAGAGCGAGAAACTGAGAGAAGTTGAAATGGACAGATTCATCCATTCCTAGTGCCTGCATAGAGTTCCCCAGGACACCCCTTGCCTCTGCTCTCAACAAGCAAATCAGTCAAAATGAAACATCGTTCTCTTATGTGAAACAGCTTTTCCACGTGGGAAAAGCACAGGATTTGAATGAAAGAGATGGGAGCATTGTGGGAAAAGGCTGTACAGTGGAACCTTGGTTCTCGAACGGCTTAGTTGATGAACAAATCGGCTCCTGAACGCTGAAAACCCGGAAGTAAGTGTTCCGGTTTTTGAATGTTTTTTTGGAAGCATAATGTCCAATGTGGCTGTCAGCTATTGTTTCCGGGGTGCCTGCACCACGCCTTGGTTTACGAACATTTCTGGAGTCAAATGAACTTCTGGAACGGATTAAATTCAAGAACCAAGGTTCCACTGTATATCCCTTTTCCCCAATGATGATAATTTGTTATTTCTACCTCGCCCATCTGGCTGGGTTTCCTCAGAGGACTCAAGATACACAAATTCCTCCAGAAACAAACTGGTGTAGGAAGAACAATTAGGAAAATGGGGATGGGGGAGACCTTCCTTTTATGTTCTTAACAGGGTTGGTTTTTTTTTTAAAAAAATGATGATTTAAAAATTTATTGTAAACCCTTTGGAGGTTTTACTACAATCAAGGGGTATATATATTTAGTTTAATAAATGTCAAGGATAATTTCTTTCCTCCCCCAACCCCACAAACTGGCTCTTTGCAAAAGCAGACAGGTGGGTTTCACAATGCCGATTTGAAACCAAAGGCACGCCTCCAAGCAGTACAATGCAAAGGCAGGTCAGTGTTGTGAGGATAAACATGTACTGCGCTGCTATGCAACATCACCCTGTTGCAGTACACCTGTTTGTGTACATCGCCACGTCTCCTTCATAGGTCTGTAAGACCCTACAGTGCTACACCTGCCCTAGAAGCGAGCAGCAATTTTCCATGGGTGTTCAGCCATTGCATGAATTGCATCACCAGATAGCATCCAAGGGAAGAAAAACAGTTGAGTGTGCATGTACTCCCAGTTGCAACCCATTTCCTGCCTTTGCCCAGGACGGATGCATTTGAGCTTAGCTCCCAGATAGCTTGTGTTTTGTGTCCGTGGCCCTTGGGTTTTCAACCTAGCGGGAGGAGAAATGGAAGCAGGAGGGCATTTCACACTTTTTAGTTTTAGGTGTACACAGGGCACACTTCTGAATGTTACGTGCGTGTATAATAAATGTGTTAGCCTGTTGAAGTTTTAAAATATATGGATAGCGTTTTTGGAGATCTAGACAGGCTATAGTTCCATGCCGAATACATACTTGGTAGCAAACTGTCTCACACATTTGCTGCCGCACTGTGTGTAAAATGGGCCATGGACTTTTACGGTTCTTTTCAGCAACTGGTTTAACTGGCAGGACAGTTTTACTAGGGGGTGAGGGGTGCTGAGCCAATAAATCTTCTAGCCTTGCTTTCTCCACATCTCTCCTTCATTGACAAACTGACCACTGGGGCCATGCGGTGGAATCTAACATAGTACTAAGTCTCCCATTCAATCGTCGCAAATATATATCTCCTCGGCACAAGATAACATTGTCCCCTTCCCCTCCGCCAGCACACCCTTTAAAACTGTTCTAGGGGTTCCCCCTACCCTCTGCAGCATGTTTGGCGAGGGCACGAGGTCCACTTGGGGAAGAAAGGAAAATCCATTTGCAAAAATGGAAATCCTTGCACTAAGGAAATATGGAGGTTGAATACCACCCACTGGGGAACAGGTAACATATCTCAGAGTGCCGGATATGGCAAAAGGGTGTCTGGAAGTTGATCCCCCTACCCCTGGGGTCCTCAACATGGTACCTCCCTTTGTGCTTATCAAGCCTCACTGCCCTTTCCAATTTTATTTAGAATTGAGGGGTTTGGGCTTTTTCTTTCTGGTTGAGTGTGGAGTTGTGGCGAGTGTTGCTTGCTCCCCCCACCCCCAATAAATAAATAAAAATAGTATATGCACAAGCCCTCCAATTATTTTCACGGAGAATTCTTGATAGGGGGTTGTGAAACCAAACTCGCAAAATGTCACAATTGGGGGCATGTTTCTGAATGCATGAAAAACGACTGATCAGATTTGCCCTGTTTTTGTCCTCCAACGCCTCTGTAACAAGCTTCGTTGTCCAAATCCGGGGATATTGTAGGAATTTCCTTGGAGGCTACAGCAGTAGCGGCATTACTGAGGGGAAAAAGATGGTGATTCTATATATTTCCTTTGAACGTTCAGGTTAGTGAAGAAGTTAGTTTCTGAGAAAACAGATTGGGTCCCTTCCAGTCTGCTGCAGCCGGCAGATGGCGACACCAGCAACATCCGCAACATCAGCAACGCAGGTAACCAACATTTCACAGTCTTTGGAAAGCTCTGTGCTGTTCCCTTTCTTAACAATCACTGCTTTTAACTCTGAAGATTATTGTGCAGCAGGAAATTGTAGACCTTTAAGAGCTCTGTTTCTCAGCTAGGAGAGAGATCTGTAGTCTTATGGTTTTGTTTGTTCAGGCATGGCCAAACTTGGCCCTCCAGCTGCTTTGGGACTACAATTCCCATCATCCCGGACCACTAGTCCTGTTAGCTAGGGATGATGGGAGTTGTAGTCCCAAAACAGCTGGAGGGCCAAGTTTGGCCATGACTGTGTTTATTGGATTTCTTACCCACTCTTTACCATAAAGTTGAAAGATGGGTTACAGCAATATAAAAGTAAATCAGCTAAATCAGAAAATTGAGTGGATGCTAAAAATAAATCCCAGGTTGTTGTTTTATGCATAGAAAGCTAACTAAATAAATATTATAAAAGAAAACAGCAACCAACAACAATAATCAGGTGTCAAAGGGCAGGATAAAAAAACTGTGTCTTCGGCATATGCAGTGAAAGCGATGAAGATGCTAGACACACCTCTTTGGAGAGGAAATTCCACAGCTTAGAGCAGGCGTCAGCAAACTTTTAAAGCAGGGGGCCGGTCCACTGTCCCTCGGACCTTGTGGGGGGCCAGACTATATTGGAGGGAGGAATGAACGAATTCCTATGCCCCACAAATAACCCAGAGATGCATTTTAAATAAAAGCACACATTCTACTCATGTAAAAACACGCTGATTCCTGGACTGGGCCAAATTTAGAAGGCGATTGGGCCGGATCCGGCCCCTGGGCCTTAGTTTGCCTACCCATGGCTTAGACTTAGAGGCTGCCTCAAAGAATGCCTTTTCGCAAGCCTCCACCTCTTGAACTTCTGAGGGCAGTGGCAATACCAAGAGATACCAAGAGGGAAATAGGTAAAGGGACCCCTGACCTTTAGGTCCAGTCGTGGCCGACTCTGGGGTTGCGGTGCTCATCTCGCTTTATTGGCCGAGGGAGCCAGGTGTCACGCTGCCGGGTCACGTGGCCAGTGGGACTAAGCCGCTTCTGGCGAACCAGAGCAGCGCACGGAAACGCCGTTTACCTTCCCGCCGGAGTGGTACCTATTTATCTACTTGCACTTTGACGTGCTTTCGAACTGCTAGGTGGGCAGGAGCAGGGACCGAGCAACGGGAGCTCACCCCGTCGTGGGGATTCAAACCGCCGACCTTCTGATTGGCAAGTCCTAGGCTCTGTGGTTTAACCCACAGCGCCACCCACATCCCAAGAAGGAAATAGAGAGATGTTAATCAGAAAATGCAGAATCTAGAACTTAGATTCAGCTGCAGATGAGGTCTGAGATGGTTGCAGTGGCCTTATCTTTCATGAAACTTGGGATCCATTTGGTGGGTGGAAAATCGTTATGCGAATATGCACACACCATACCCAGCATCTCTGCAAGAGAGTTCCTCATTACCAATAGAGATGTGTTCCTCTTTCAGATATCTACGGTGGTACCTGCAGCACAGCACCCACAAATTCAGAAATGAAGGAGAGCGAGCTGACAAGAAGCTTAACAGCTGAACAGAAGGCTGGGAGCTGAACACACCTTGACGCATTTCCTCAGGACTCCATCTTCTTCTCTACTTACTGGTGGACGCTGGACCAAATCGCCTTTCCCACAAGCTCTGAACTTAAGAATTCTGTGAAATTTCATCAGCATGGAACATATTTTTTAAAAATTTAAAAAAAAAAACTCAACAACTCGCTAATCTAGGAAATATGGAGGATAATGGAAACTTCAGAGGTATCTTAGAACTTGACAAATGAATCGACAGTATGCTTTTTTATACTGCATTTTTGGAACCATTGAAAAGGGTGTTGCCTAAATTAGGCTGACAGCATTGAAGGCCTTCAGATTTGTGGCTATGTTGGTTAAATACTGGACTATTTAAAGAAAGGTCTGCAGATTCCACAGGAGATATTCTGTTGCAGAGGCCATCTCAAATTCCTCCATCCATTCAGATCAGCTGCTCAGCCTCTCCTCAACCGCAGGCTTGATTTCCTCAAGACAATCATGGTCGGCAAGAACAACGGAAATAGGTTGGGTGAAGAAAATACCGTTCCTGAACCTGAGCCAACTAGGACGCCTTTGCTCAACAGCAAAGGATGCAACCTGCTTTGGGATACGATCTTCTGTCCACAGAATGTTTTGAGTGGTGGCTGGGAAAAGATGGGCATCTTGGGACCTGTTGGGCAAAAGCAAGGAACGGTGACTGTGAAGGCAGTTATGGGGTTTGTCTGTCGTTTCAAGAGGGTGCCTTTGTTTCCCCCAGTTTGTGATTGAGGGAACATATCCTCTGCATTTGGTGCTGACAATTCTGTCTGATGCTGCCATTCAGGGCTCCACACTTCATTTTGGAACATTGTCATATGCTGGGCTCTTGAACAGGATACATTCACACACCCCCTCCCCAAAAAAATAATGCTTCCCCCATGTGATGTCCTCTACTTGTTTAGGTGCTTGCAAATGGACCTACGGCTGACGAGAACGTGTGGTCATCTTAAAGGTCTGTTGCCATGCCATCTTATTTCGAGGAAGACTGTGCCATCCCTCTGCTGCAACGGACAATGTCACAATGTTCCCCTTCCCTCCGCTTTCAAATCCCTGAAACAGAAGGCACTTCCAGAAATATATAAAGGTGTTTTTGCATGAAGGCATATTGATGGTGATTGGGAAGCGTAGGTCCCACAAAGCTGCTATAGTAGTGTGATGTTTGATATGAATTTTGGACTAGGAATAGGGCTACTTGATGGGTGCTGTATGTAAGGCTGGTAAACAGAGAAAAATCCATATAAAGTCACCTCCACTTGGCATCTGGTCAGTCCCCCTTGCAGCTGCTTGTGCAGTTGGGCTGGCTCTGGCTGTGCTGTGGGGGAGCAGCCCAGAATTTATGTGAGCGTTAAACCGGCAGGAGGGCTTTGCAGAAAGGCTTCTTTGCGTTGCAGTACTGTGACTGAAATTTTAGGCCATTTCCACAGAAAATTCCTCAGCAACATAATTCCAATTTAAAGTGTCTGTTCTGCTCCCACTTCTGAGCAATTTTCAGTATGCAGATTGAATATCTGATATGGAGCCCTCAACCAGTGGAAGTGGTACACTCCAGCACACATTTTTTTTAAAAAATCAGAAACAAAGATGGAGGAGCAAATTAGCCTCCTGCTGGTGAGAGCTGGCATGGCTTTGGATAATGCAATTTGGCCACCTTTGGATTTCCTTGCATGTAAACACAAGCATGTAAACACAACAGGGGACACAGGTGGCGCTGTGGGTTAAACCACAGAGCCTAGGACTTGCCAATCAGAAGGTTGGCAGTTCGAATCCCTGTGACAGGAGTGCAAGTAGATAAATAGGTACCGCTCCGGCGGGAAGATAAACAGCGTTTCTGTGCACTGCTCTGGTTCACCAGAAGCGGCTTAGTCCCGCTGGCCACGTGACCCGGAAGCTGTATGCCGGCTCCCTCGGCCAATAAAGCGAGATGAGCACCGCAACCCCAGAGTCGGTCATGACTGGACCTAATGGTCAGGGGTCCCTTTACCTTTTAAACACAAGATGACACAGTTAAGAGCTGGTTTCCACATGTTGCAGCAGCAGCAGCGAATGCCCTAAAAACTTGCCCATGATGCCCACGTTCTCATGGCGAGAGCAGCCTGCAAACAACTGGAGTTACACAGATATCCAGCTGCGTGCCATTGCTGCGATTGCAATAGCCTGTTTTTCGGAGGCTGCAACAGCAGGACTTGCATGCAAAAAGGTATATGTGTTGCTTCCGGTTCACATAGCACTTCACCCATGCAGATGTGAGCCCACAAATTATTTGTGCAGCAAAGTCAATCAAATGGCCATATTTAATAAAGTAGTGCTCCTGCAAAATTGCAGTCGCTGATTGGGAGATGTTTATGATCATCAACATACTGCAGCCCCAGACTTCTAGAAATTCCATTGAGGTGTCTTCTGATTTCTGACCCTTTAGTTGAAAACATTATTGGCCCCCACCATGTTTTGCTTCTCAGCTGAAGGAGTCTCCAAATTTGAAGCTTGATTGTTGAAGTGGAGACAGGTTTTCAAAAACGCAAGAAAGCTACCAACTTCTGCGTATTTTCTACAATGCTCCATAAAGCCATATTACATGATTAATTGCACATCATAGGAGCGGTTCATACTCCTGATCCCCCCTGCTGTCAGGGGACATATGCATACAAATTTGGTGCCCCAATTGCTTTAAAAAGAAACTTCCCATAAATTGCTCCCTCTTCCCTACACAAAGGAAAGTGTGTTTGTTTGTACTGGGGGTGATAATGGAGACATCTGGTGTCCAGATCTGATGTTAAGGATGGGTTTAGACTAAATCAGAGTTGCGTTTCATTGGGATTCTAATACATGCATACAGACACAGGTGCCAATAGAATTTCAACAGGGTCTTCAAACAGTTCTATGCTGTTGCTTCTTATCCCTGCCCCTCCTCTATGAAGTGCAGCCATTTCATTTGCAGCTGGGATTCTCCATGCACAGCCAAACGAACTGTAGACAATCTTTCTTTCTGAACACCGTAAGCTACTATATATTACGCCAGTTGTGTGTGTGTGAGTACTTTATTTTGCAAATAAATTATACGTCCTTTTCTGTTTTTATAATGTACGGGAATAATACTGCGATGTATTGAAAAGGGGGAAATGTCTACCCACAGAGAGAGATCTGTGTGCAAGAGCAGGCTTTTGTACACACAGCCAATTCCACCCACATCATTCTCATTATCTGAGTCTCAGTGAATGAGTTAGGTAGAACTTTTCGTGTGTCATTGTTGCACACAGCTAGTTGCACATGACTCGAGCTGGATTGCAACCTGGAACTTTATGGTTTGGGCTCATTATTATTATTTTTAAAAGAAAAGGATCAGAATTTTTTTATATTAAAAAAATCATGTTCTAGGTGGCCAATGCTAAGATTTGCCATATGTGCTGCTGATAAATGCTTGTGGAGGGACATAAGCAGCCCACAGTTCCTATACCACTTGCAACATCAACCTTGGTGGTTTGCCAGCAATATAAGGAATTTGTACCACTACAAATGCTAAATGTCAGGCTAACATAATCAAAATCCACTTAATTAACACTTAGCACAAGATACCTTTTCCAGTTTTATTGAGGGTGTGTATGGAATAGGCACAGAAGCCTTTTCCAAAGCAAGAAAAATATGCGACATCACTCTTGCTAGGGCACTTCCAGTCTAAAGATATTATGTGCATTACCCCAGGGAGTCTACGTAAAAATGAAAAATAATATTAAATACGGTTGGGAGGAAATATGCACGTTTGATTTTTACTTTTGAAATAGCATGGAGAAAATGATGTAATATGTAGATTGATTAAAACCAACATGCATTGGTTTTAATGAGTCTACTCTAAGTATGATTTAGTTGGATATTGCCTAATCTACTTGCCCTCTTTTGGAAAAGACAGGTTTGTAGAATGTGGTTTAACAGACTCCTAAAGCAGAGGTTATTGGACTTTCTAGTAGCTTCAGGAAGCCTTTAATTTACCAGCTAGAATGCCATGGGGAGGCATGTTTGAAAGCAGGGGTAGGGGACATGTGGCCCTCTAAATGTTGCTAGACTACAACTCCCATCATTCCCTGACTATTTCTGCTGGGGCGGATGGGAATTAGAGTTCAACATCGACTGGACAGCCACAGGTTTCCCACCTTTATTCTAAAAGATTCTCCTGGGAGATGCTCTAGGGCTAGGCCACACACTCGTGGAATCATAGAATTGTAGAGTTGGAAGGGACCGCAAGAGTCATGTAATCCAATCCCCACCAATGCAGGAATCCTTTGCCCATTGTGGGGCTCGAACCCGCGAACCTGAGATTAGGAGTCTCATGCTCTACCAAGTGAGCTATCCTGTTGCGTCTCACCATCATCCTGCACAAACTGGGACTGGAGCCTTGACCACACCACTTTCCAGTAAATGCACATTGCTCTGAACAGGGTCTGCTGGCAAACATTTGCCATAATTGATGTTCTGACCAAGAAAGAAGAACCTCACAGTTCCCTGGAACACACTCCGATAACCACTGCTCCATGACACCATGTTATGGATCCTCAGAAACGGCATTCCCGTGTGTTTCTCTAGGAAAGGCAAGCAGAAGTAGGAAGGAATGTCTCTACTGGGTTTCCTCAAGAGTCCAAAAAACGAGACCCCAAATCTCTTAATCTCTTTACACCAGTTGTATGGTGCAGAACCACTCAACAAGAGGGTCAAAAACACTGGGAGATGTGGGGTTGTGGTGGCTACCCCCATCATCACACCTCTCACTAAGCATAAGATTTGTGTGTTTCATTTCGAACTGATTCAGGGCATTAAACACACACACATACACATACACATACCATTTCCTTAGGTATACCTAAGAACTGTGAAAGACATCTGGAGGCTTGAACAATCTCATGGGTTGGTTTAAGATTGTGGTGTTTCAAATAATCCTGTGCTGTATTTCGTACAGCAGCCAGAGATATTGTACTGGAACCACTGCTAAAAAAACAAAAAAACTTTCTTCTGCAACTGCTACTTGGTCTGAGACGTGTAAGTTACCCCTTTTCCACATTGAGGGTAATGATGTTATTGGTAGTTTGTGGTTGCTGGAAGAGAGGCCGGTGGCGAATCACAGAAACTGCTCTCTTTCCTACTTTCTTGTATCAGGACCGAATGTATGAATGTACTACAGAATATGTATGTTTGTGTGTGAAGCTGGACTTTCTGTAAATAGACCATTACGAACTGTGTAAAACCAACCCTTTGTTTGAACTTTATAAGAATTATAAATACTGTATTACAAAATTGCCTGCAAAACGGGTTTTTCAGCCTTATTCTGATTATTACTTGTTTTTAAATGCGTAACAATAAGGAGTGCAAGTTTGCACATGAGACTAGACGGGATATTAACAGTGTAGATGCAATTCTTGGTTAATTAAATTGCAGGTGGGAAGACTTAGCAACCTTTGGAGTATGGGAGTCAGATTGGGATGGGAAGTTTAACACTTTCATGGTCATGATTCTGACAAAATCTCCTCTCTGATGCTGCTAGTTGCCTTTTAATGGAAGCCCTGTTGGCATCAATGCATGTGCAGAAGCGGCCGAATCGCGACCCACACGTGCGCAGGCGCGGCGCTGCGGGTTGCGAACGTGCCTCCT